GCTCAAAGATGACCCTGCACATTTTGAGTATGTTTGGCTCAACCTGCTGCTGTGAAGCAGGATTCTCCACCATGAACAGAATCAATCTCAGTAAGACAAACAAAAAAAAAAAAACAATTTAGATTTTAAAATTTAATTTTTTTTTAAATTTTCTTTAATATTTTTATTTTTTTTTTAAATTCAATGTATAACATGGAAGCATAAAAACCTCATTTTATTTCCGTGTTAAATTCTGTTTAAAGTAATGGATTATAATTAAAATTGTCTCTGGGCCTTTACTGGTCGATGATTTTCTTTATTCGGACCCCCCTGATTTTTAATTGGTTACCCCTGTACTGGAGGTTTTTAGAACAGAATTATAAAGAAAGTGTCAGACAATACAAAGACATAAAAGGTCTTATTTAATTTTATTCAAACTACAACTAAAAAGTTGAAGATTTACCATCGTAGATTGTTTTTCAATATGGCAGCACACGACGAGAGATGGGAAACTTCAGAATGCAGCGGAGAATGAGCTTGTGTCTCCTGGCTGTTTGTTAACAGCCATCAAAGCAGTATCATAATGTAAATGAATGAGTTTATATTAGGTTTTAATTTCTAAGAAAAGCTCTATCACAGCTCTATATTTATATTTTGTGAAAATGATAGCGGTCCTAAAATTCAACATTTCATGTCAAAGGGGTTAAAAATTGGGTTAGTGTTTTTTTATAACATTTGTATTGGGTTTTGGAGGTTTTGTATGGTAATATTGTTTACATTTTCTTCTTTTTCCAGGCACATGGTTAAAACGCCAGCACACCTTTATATGCTTGGCCTTTGTATGGGCGTATGCTGCCTTCTGGGCCACCATGCCACTGGTTGGCTGGGGCCACTATGCTCCAGAGCCCTTTGGAACCTCATGTACCCTGGACTGGTGGCTCGCACAAGCCTCTGTGTCAGGCCAAAGCTTTGTAATGGCTATCCTGTTCTTCTGCCTCATCCTCCCTGCTGGCATCATTGTCTTCTCCTATGTCATGATCATTTTTAAAGTGAAGTCATCTTCGAGGGAAATTTCACACTACGATGCCCGCATCAGAAACAACCACCACCTCGAGATGAAACTCACAAAGGTGAGTTGTAAGAAGTGAATTTTGTTCCATTATTGTTGCAGCAGGGAAACTGTTTTTTTAATGGAAATTTAAAAAATATGCAATCCAGAAATTAAACTGAAAAGAGCTTAATCAAAATAAGTTAATAATAGGTTTTGAGAGTTACATTTTATAGATGACATTCAATTTGCTTCAAATAAAAATGCACGCTGTTGATCGACAGAAATATTGTTGCTAACTTCCATGCAGACCAATTGAAATGCATCTTTAACCCTTACTACAAAGCAAAGCCCGCCCACGGAAGTGAAGAGAAAGTGATCTGTAGAAACAGAACTAAGAAGAAAATTTAAAGTACATTTGAAAAATGTACTTTAAAAAGTAAAGAGGATACTTGTAAAAAAAGAAAACTATTAGAAAAACAAAATGTATCTAATAACATAAAAATTGCTAAATTAACATCTAACATTGGGAAGAAAATGAAATAATTGTTGAAATTTTTTTTCTTTTTTCTTCATATTTGTTCTTTTTGGATAGATTTTTTATTTTATTTCCATTTACAAAATCTGTGCATTGACTTCAACAACAATGGATAACTTTCACTCTATATAGTTGGATAAGAAAGGAACATGTTTGTGAATGTAACAGGTCAATATTACAAACTACTAGAGTGAGACAGGAAGATAACAGTAGCAAAACAAATAAAACTTTAGTTGTGTTCAGAAATATAAAACAATGTAAAAGTTCAGTCTGAATCCTGGTTTGTTTCATTTCAGGTGGCAATGCTGATTTGTGCAGGCTTTTTGATTGCCTGGATTCCCTACGCCGTGGTTTCAGTGGTGTCAGCGTTTGGGGAGCCAGACTCCGTACCCATCCCCGTGTCTGTCATTCCCACATTGCTAGCCAAGTCCTCAGCGATGTACAATCCAATCATCTACCAACTTGTGGATCTGAAAAATTCATGCTCATCCTGCTGTATCAAGGTCATGAAGAAACGGAGGCATTTCAGGAAGTCAAGGTAAAACTTGTTCACCTTAGTTTAGCTATTTTAATTATGTTATAGGGTTCTGACTTTGGTTTGTTGGCATTAATCCCTTTGGTACAGTCTATTATACTGCATAGAAAGAATTAAGAGTTTTATTCTGCATATCCTAATGCTTTAGGTATTCTATTTTCTTTTTCATGTGTAAACAGTTCTAGTTCAAATAGAAGTGTCTTATCCCTTTTATTATAATAAAACAAAGGTTCTCTATAATTACTGGTGAGTTCTGCTTCTGCTCGTTCACACTGTAGGTACATTTAGCAGAAATCTGGTTCCTTTGGGGTCAAGGGATCAGGTCAGGCTGTTTAATGCAAGTGTGTGTGCTAAAACCTAGTTTGCATTTGACTTTTGAAAGTCACATGAGAACCACATTCATATGTGGTCCTGAATCCAACTTTAATCTGATCTTTGGGAATGTGATGTCAAAATGCAGAAATGAGTGAGGCAGAGATTAGTTCTTGTAGGTTTAATGAAGAAGAACATCCAAAAACACAAAATTACTAAGAACCAAAAACCAGCAACTAGTGATGGTTCCACTAATACCGATGCATCAGTGCATGCATCGGGCCCATAGAGCAAAACACAGTATTGGTGCGTATGTTATTTCAAGAAAAACATTTGAATGACTGTGAAGGAGTTGTTTCTAACTGATTGACACACTTAACTGTGTTTAAAAACATATCTGTCAAAATGATGCATCTGGTTAAAAAAGATGTCTCATCTTTTGCGGTTTAACAATAAATTATTAAGAATTTGGAGCAGCCTAAAGGGAACAGGAATGTTTCAGCCGTTGCATTTTTATTTTAATTTTCTCGTTGTGTCATCCTTTTCCTCTTAGTTACCACTCAACTTATCTGAGTTTGAGTTTATTTCAAATTGACTGTTAGTTTATTTACTGTTTTTACTGTACTTATAAAAAAATATGATTTAAAATCCTAGTCTACAAGCATCCTCATTCACATTTTCCCCTAAATATACATGTTATGATTTATGTTTAAATTATTTATTGACTTCATCTAAAAATATCAAAGATGTTTTCAATTTAAATACAGATATGAAATAATACAATATAATCTACAATAACTTAAATTATATCATTGTATTAGGTCATCAAATCAATTCAGTTTAGTCTGTCAAATAAGCTGCCTGTTGTGTCTTTAAAGGTCCAGTAGGTGTCAGTATTCTGTGAGACAGTGTCAGCACAGGATCAATACAGTTTGGCAATGTGTCAAAGTGCTTCAAGTTGCCTCATTAACCCATCACTACCAGTTAACATCAGGGAAAACTCACGTGGGGAGTGAGAGGTGAGGAAGCAACTATCCTTACCTTATTCACCTGAATAATATCCAGAATGGGATTTTTTTTTTTTGTTATTTTAAGCTAATTATTAAATTCCATCAACAGATTTTATGAAAATACATCTTTTCTGAAAAACAAAAGATTTACATACCCATATTTTATTTTTTACCGAGATGTAAAGACGTTAGAGCTTGTTGATAAATATTGACAAATAAAATTTTATTCAGTCCTAATTAAAGGGCTTATAGAAAGGTTGAGGAAATCAGGATATGGGTAATAGTTTGCATTGTAGCTTTTATAAACGACACTTCAAACAGAGGACTTTGAAATGCTGTAGAGGTTAGTGAGAATGTGATGAATCTGTCTCTGTTGCTTTCTAATACATTTGATGGCCTGTAAAGTTTGGAAGAGAGGCCCTAAGATATATGATTAAAAGTTGTCCTTGTAAAGATAAAAGTCCCTCTTAAAGCAGAGTTTGCTTCATTGCTGGCTGTGTCATTGAATCAAGACAGTTTCTTGTGCTGAAATGGCATCAGACTTGCATTCTCCTTTTATTCATGCATTTCAGACAGAGCACCTGCAGACACACTTTAAACACATATTTCTCCATGTTTACTGTTATACTGCATGTAATATACTTGTTCTTTTTCATGAGCATGCAGGTTAGCTTGGATCTGCAAAGTGTTCAGACTTAAGTCAGACACTGGCCACAGTAATGGAAAGAAAACACAGAAAAAAATTGATTCCTGAAAAAAAAAATCTGAATTAAGATCTGCATTGTAAGCTTAGCCTAAAAGTCAGCTGAAAACTGCTTTTCTGGTTTCTATGACAGCTCTCTTTCCAACTTCAAAGATTGCAAGCTGCTCATAAAATATCTGAGAAATCCGTTATTAAAGAATCTTTTGGATTTTTTTATGCTTGCAAAAAGAATCAATAGGATGCTAAAAACGTAATAATGTTGTGAGAAAGTAAGGCTCACCACGTAGCAGAGCAGCTGTGGTTAGAAAAGCTAAATTCCTGTAAGATAATTCTGCCTGTGTTTACTGCATGCGCAATTATAGCAACAATATTTTAATTTATCTTTGCCTCAGGGTAAAACAAACTGATTATGCAGCTGTTGTTGCATACCTCTGTATATGCTAATTCCATTGTATGGCCAAATCCTAGTTCTGTCTGTCTTGTAAAAAAACAAAAAAAATTTTGTTGATGAAGCCTATACAAAAAATAAAAAAAAATTATAATAATACTTTCTAAACAGTGCATCTGGTGCAAAATTCCAACTGTTTATCTTCAAATCAAGTAATTGTTAGAATAAAACCAGTGTTTTAATGTTTTGGTAAAATGACTAAAAGTCAATATTGAAATCTCCTCTCAGCTGAGGTGTATAAAATGAAAAGAAGTATAAAAACTGAATAGTATTTATCAGGAAAAAGTCTCTTAAGGAGTTCTGGAGATGTAGGAGGGGTCAGTTCTAAGTAAATACCAGAACTGTGATTAACTTCTAGTTAATCTCTAGCCATCAAAAGAACTACAAATCAGTCATCTGCTGTATAGCTACAGTATGTTGAGTTTAAGGACCCCTTTATATTCGTAGTGTTTCTTTCACTGGTTATTCTCATATTTTGCAAAACATTCCAACACTTTCCTCGTGACGTTGAGCCAGTTCACGATAGACTGGGGGGAGAATGTCCTCGGAAACTTGTGACCTCCACCTCGAACCAGATGTGAGCCTTCAATCACTTTGCATTGCTCAAGAACATTAAGCCTCAGTAATGTTTTTTTCATACTTTTCCACAAAACTAAAATTAGATATTCTGTCTACTTACTGAATGTATTCTTTCATTAATGAAAATGTTATATTTTTTAAATATTGTTTTGTTTTTTAAATAATTTTATGTCAGTTATCTTTGTGATTAATTTTGTCAAAACAATGCAAAGTAATTAATTCTGATAGTAGAAACATCTAGAAAAACACCAATAGAAGACAAAAATTGCTCTTCTTGTTTATTTAATGTCAATATTTGCTCATTATTTTAAATTTATTAAAATAGATAACTTATTTGATAGCAATAAATTACCCTACTTCCCTTTCTGCTTTTTCCTCTTTGTGTTACCAACTAAGTCTTGGTCTCTCCATTATAAAAGCTTTTAAACCCACTAAGAGCACCCGTGTGACCTTCATTTCATCCATACAAGAATATTGTTTTGTGATAATGCAACAATGATCTGCGTTATCATGAGCTTTTATCCAGCTTGTTTAAAAGACTAGTTCAGGGTAAAAAAAAAGTCATTTTCACATATCTGTTTAGGGAACCAATACACAGCGAAGTTACAGTAAAGCCCTATCATGTTTTCTTAAGATACTCTTTATTTTTGGTGTATTTACATGACAATATTTAAGCATAAAACATAAGCAAGAGTTACTTAGCTAATTTAGGGACTTTTAGTGTTATTTTTATTGTGCATGACAACATTAATGCACATTACATTTTCCTTTCAGAAAGACGTGAATAGTTTATTATGCACAAAGTCTAAATTGCCTGGGGTAAGATAATACAGGCATCTTACTAGCAAGTGGAGGAGACAGAATTAGTTATAATGGTTGGCATTTATTGCTTTGTACATGAAACATTTTCTCTAGGGGTTTTAAAAAAGTAGCTGGGTCTTGAAACTAATGTTATTTGATCACGTATTTATTCTACATTTTGTGTCTACGTCCTTTGTGCCAGTTGATCCCAGAAACTTTATACTGATATGTTATAGATTAGAAAAGAATAGAAGAGAATAGAATTAAATTTTATTGTCATTAAACTGTCACAAATACAAAGCAAAGAAATGTAGTTTGCATCTATCCTGAAGTTCCATACAGGATAGAAAATTGTATGTACATGTGCGCAGAGATCAAATCCCTGCAGAACAGGTTACTGGCTGAATCTATATCCATCCTGATAGAGAGAACACAAATAGATCCAAATAAAAAGGATAAAGTTAATAATACTTTTTTAAATTAAACAATGTAAAAATGTTAATTAGATTCTTGATTTGGATCGTTTTTTGGCCTTTTACTGTTTCTTTACTCTCAGTACTGGTTATTTGTTCTTAGTGAAAGACTATGGCTTAATTGGTTTTGCCTGCAGCTACAAGTCATTTTTTAGACCTAAACGGCTTCCCTTACTGTTGTCTGGAGGTAGGAAATTATTGTATATGGTAATTAGTGGTGTTGCTCTGATGCCATTTTTTGGCACCGATACTTGACTGTGTGGTACCGGCCTTTGCCGATACCATACCAAAATCATCTGTTTGAAACTGGGGTGTGTGTGTGTGTGTATATATGAAGAACTGCATACTACTTGTATGTTATATAATTGCCATCATGGCTTTGTCAAGCTGCTGCCTACCTTTGTGAAGCAGGAAAAAAGACTGATACAAAGTGAATCCAGTAGAACTTTTCATTGTCTACCTGGAATGGGTGACAATAGTTGAATAAACTTTTGGCTCTCAAAATGGTATCGGTGCCCTATAGGTCGGTACTTGCCGATACCTATACCACCATTTTAGTGCTGGATCAGGGCCCCATCCGATACTGGTATCGGTATTGGTGCAATACTAGTAATTAGTATTTAGTTTCCCTTTTTTTTTTTTTACATCTTTGAATATAATGCTAGAAATAAATAGCATACCAACATGCATTTGGCAGAAAAGCCTTCATGCTTAAAGTATTGACTACAAAATACAAAGACAGATAATTTGTATTGCTCTTTTGTATTTTAAACAACATAATAAATATCCATCCATCTTCTCATGCTTATTCCATTCTAAACAAAATTACATTCTTCACATCCAAATGAAACATTCTGGATGTCTAGACATTCATTTCAGATCTCAATATTCTTAATATTACTGGTCAGCCTTTGTATTATTTTAACTATGAAGAAATGTATTCAAGATATCATAAATACATATTCAATCAAGTTGATAAATGTCTAAACTTTGGTCAGCTGGCATGACTCTAAGTCATGGGGTTTATGTCACACGTGACTCTATTAGCTCCAAAATCCTTTTACCTAAACCACAAGGAAATAATTATATTATTATTCTATTTAAATGTTATTGAACAATTCTCCACACCCATTACACAAAGTATACAAGATTAAAATAACTCTAAAACACTATGGTTACATTAAACTGCATGAATACATATTAAAGTGCGCGTCGGCACCACGCCCGTACTTTGAGCTGCAGGCAGTGTGCCCTGGTTACAGGTGTCCAAATCTTGAGGTGTGCTCTGGGGTCGTGGAGATTTAGGCCGTTGCTCAATTCACAAGAACGCGAGTACGGACTTCTGTTCTCACCAAGTATGTTCTTGAGAAGAACACAGGAAAGTGTGAACTTGGGGAGAACTGGAGCACGCAGCATAAATATGGGTCAATTGGAACAGAAGCCTAGTCATGACATCACCACATGCCCGGCTCGTCTGGAGCTGCATTTCTCCTCTTGTTATTAATGGTCTCTAGATAATAACAAATTCTAACTTTTTTCATTTAGTAAGGGAATAATAATTAACTCAGTCAGATAAACAAATATCAAATGAACATTTTACCAAATACAACCAAAAAAGCACCTTCAGAGCCAGCGGCTCTTCAAACACAGCTAGGCCAGTAGAGGGCTGCTGCAGACAGGCTAAAGTTAGATCTGGCTGCCGTTACTCTCGGAGCTCCACTGGTTGCCGCGTTCCTCTCAACTTCGGAAAAGCTTTATTAATTACGCATTAAATTGGTAAATGGGCCATATAGTGATGCTTAAAAGTATAATGTTCTCGCCTCAAACGTACTTTTATTGAACAACAGCAACAGAAAAGAGAACTTTTAGCTTAATACTAAGAGCTGCCACAGTGCATGCTGGGACAGCTGTCAATATCAAGAACGGACAAGTCTGCTCATATGGTTACTCGCTAAATAGGGAGAGGTGATAACAACATTTGGGGACTTTGTTCTCGGTCTGCTATTCTTGTGAATTGGAACAGTACTAGGGCTGAGGCTCATGACGTTTCACGAGTACATTAGCACATGATAACACACAAGTACACATATTGAGAAAAGGTCTCTCATGAGTGGACGAATACGAGATGTGTTTCTGTTTCATATTTCCTCCTCGTTTCTGTGATTAGACTAAGTGAATTTACTAGTTACTAGTCTGACAACGTAACTTCCTTGCACTTGTTTTGATTAGGCCCTCAAAATAATTAAATTAAAATCCAAATAAATGTGATAGTAAAATAAAAAAAAAAGTCAAAACCATTTCCCAAAATATGCATAAGAAATTTATAAATTGTGCAAAGTATTTTTAATAAATTATTTTTTTAAAATCTCCCTATCACCACTATGGCATGCTGCGGCATCCCCACTTTCTGCGGCCATGTATTGACTTGTTATGTTTTTGGCCTGAGTGGATTTAACTTACTCTAGTTTGTTTTTGTTAGCCCAAATACATTTGAGTGTGTTAGTATTAGTTTTATTGTGTGCGTCTGTTAAACCCCAATATTACCTGCCTGTTATTTGTCTAAACTAATGTCTTTTCAAGCAGTTTATCTAATCTAATCATGTTCATTATGTACATAACAGAGATTTGGAAATGAAATAAAAGTGTATGGACTTATATACATATATATTATGAAGTGTTATTCAAAGAGTTTTTTTCCTGAGTGATTTCTTCTCAGGAAAGAATCAGGAAGAGAAAGGTTAATAGTGTGAACACTGAGCTTTCTATTACAAAGTGTTTTTTTCTGCCCTCTTAATTTGATTAAAGAGTACTCTGTTTGGTTTTATGAAACCTTTTATTTTTGTAATAAACCCTGTTAAACTCAACCTCTCCTTCTGGATATATTCTGATGATGCCACCCCCTAATTCTCAACTCCGGGGTCATTACATAAGCCTCAAAACAACCTTGCACGGCTTCTTCAGCTACATTTAACCATCTTCTACTCTTTTGTACAGATTGCCTGTTATAAATGGCCTTTTAGTATGGAGAGTGAAAAACAATATTGTAATTGGGAAATAATGACAAAACCCATCTACCAACAGTTCAGTATCTGTCCTTCAAAATAACATGTTCTGGATGATAAAATCTGTTGTTTACAAGCACTACTTACCCACCTCCCTTGAGTTTTCAAGCTACCTATTTAAATCTCTGGCTGTTTCTCAATTCATAATAAGGAAACTGCAGACTTGCATCCTCACCAAGTTTGTTCTTGAGGAGAACAGGAAAGTTGGACTTGGGGAGAACGGGAGCATGCAGCATAAATATGGGTCAATTGGAACGCTCAGCTAGTCTGCAGCTGCATTTCACCTCCTGTTATTAATAGTCTCTAGATAATGATGCATTCTTACTTTTTCATTTATTGGGGGAATAATAATTAACCCAGTCAGATAAACTCAAATCAAAACAACATTTTGCCAAATAAAACAAAAAACTCGCCATCATAGCCAGCGGTCCTTCACACACGGCTATGCAGAGAGAGGGCTGCTGCAGAAGGGCTAGGATTAGACCTGGCTGCCATGACCCACAGAGGTCCACTGGTTACTGCGATCCTCTCAATTTTGGAATTTATTTTTTAACTAAGCACTAAATCAGGAAATGGGCAATACAGTGATGCTTAAAAGTATAATGTTCTCACCTCAAATGATCTTAAAATGTACTTTTATTGAACAACAGTAACCGAAACTTAATACTCTGAGCTCTATGAGCGCTAACATGAAAGCTGCTGCTGCCGCAGTGCATGCTGGGACAACTGTCAATCTCAAGAACAGACAAGTTTGCTCTGATGCATGCTGGGTAAAGAGGGAGGGATGAGAATAATATCCGGGTACTTTGTCCATTCTGACTTTTCTTGTTCTTGTGAATTGGGACAGTACTAGGGCTGAGCCTGATGACGTTTTTCAAGCACATGAGAACGCACAAGTACACATATTGAAATGGCCCCTGTCTGCTCATATGGTTCTGCAGCCAAATTTCAATAAAAGAAATATTACAGTATTGTCAATATTCTGACTAGGTACCAACTAGGACCTAAAGTTCTTCAAAGTTGTTCCTAAAGACCTCAGATTTAGTGTAATGATCAGTGGAAGAGCTTAAATTTCTCGCTCTTCTCCTTGCTCCTGTTCTGCATACTCAGTATGTCCCTTTCAACTTACTGTAGCTGGTACGTTAAGAAGTGTTAGTCACCGTCTGAAATGTTAATAAGCTGCTTAGAGGTAAAAAAGTTGCTATAGTTACACATCAAAGCAAATATTAAAAAACAAAAGATACTGCCTAAAATCCTTCAAGCTTCACAGCAAAACCTAAGACTAAAAAAAGAAAGAAAAAGAAGAAAAATAGTCAGATCATCAAAGAGATTAACTAAAGTTCAGTATGATTTTCTGTCCTTGTGTTTATGTTGTTTTATATTCTTACCTTTCCAAGTATCTATAGGCCAATATTAAGGTTAGACTTCATTGTTGGGATATGTACATTTCTTCAATAAAAAGCCAATTAAGAATATTTAAATTCTGTTCTAAATCTGAGTTTACATTACTTTTTATTAGCTTTCAAAATCTTTTCCTTTAATCACACTTGGGCACTGAAAGAAATTCTTAAATTAAGTATATTTAACCTTACTTTGAGCAGGTAAATAACATGATTTGCCAATTGAATGAGTATGTTTACTCATAAAATAAGATAATTAGATAATATGCACTTGTAACGTCAAAGCAATTGTATTTTCTTATTTTACATGGTAATTGTCTTGTTCCATTGGCAATGTGTCTCACTTACCTCCTCAATTCAAGAAAAAAATGCACTAAGAAAAAGTGAGTTATTTAGATTTCAGTTTTTTGCAGTGTGCTGTTTCCTCTTGATTTGGGAATAGCACAGCCCTATCACGGTGTGCCAGGGACATGTGAAAGACGTGGCCTTTCTTATTTTTCCTGTTTCAGAGAATTTAATTTTCAGAGTGATTACAATGAAAGGTCTGTTTTAGATGGCTGACAAGATCCTGAGCATATATATTTTTTAATAATTTATTTTATAAATAATGAATATCTTATAATGGCAATGCAAATGTTTCAGCATATCTTACAATGTCCATGTTCTTGCAGGTTATACACAATCTCGGGCTCAGTGAAGGACACAGCACCGGCCAAAGAAGCTCACATCGAGATATAAAACAAACAGTTGAGACTGTGTGACCTTTACCTGTTGTACCATGGACATCTTGCCTTGTTCCCCGCCTGCTGTGCCCTATACCTAACCGATCACACGCTGCCTGCAGTCACATCATCATCTGCTCACCTTTGCTGCTGGTTCCTGGATATTGCAGCTCCCTTTCCTCACTGAATATCAACCCTTTATGTAGCTTGCTACCTCCTTGTGATTATACTACTTTATCCTCACAAGGACGTCCTATATCTGTAGTGTACACTGGTTTAAACATACAGATCACATGTTGTGTAAACATTTTGATTTTTCACCTCCAGTATTAGACTTTGCAATAAAATGCCTGACACAGGAATGGGAAATTGAGAGTTTTCCAATACAAGTCACAATTTAAGTTAAAATGTCTTTGTATAAAATGTAGTGACAAATCAATAATTTGGCATGTTTGACATTTTTAGCTGAACTGGAAATTACAATTTCAAAGAAAAAACTATTATTATGTTATTATTTTTTGCTGTTTGTACAGGCTGTTGGTGTTTGTAGTTTTACACTTGTGTGTTTTGGTGAATTTATATGTATTGGAGCAAAGCACTGGATCACATTATCTCACTAGTTAAGGGCACTGACAGAGAGATCTTTCAATTATTTGGTTACTGGAAATCCATACCAGAAAAAGTTGAGAATATATTGTTTGACAGCATGGATAAAAAAAAAGACATGAGGTCAATAATTCAATGTATAGCTCTTTCCAAGAAAACACATAAACAGTATAAGAGCACTTTATTTTGCAAACCATTCAGAATGCACTGATGAAAGTTTGTTGTCATAGTTTTGTATCTGGTCAAGTGTTGCAGAAAATGGTTTCATTAATCTAAAGACAACAAAATACATAAATTCCTACAAGAACATACAATTCAAGAAAGAGTTAAAGTTAATTCAGGGATGACTAAAATGTATTTATTTTTGCTATATATTTTCTAGTTTTTTTTGGGGGGGGTGGGGCCATATCTCTAAGAATGAAAGTTTTTGTCTTTTCTTTCATAATCCACAAAGTGTGCATTTCTGTTTTGCCAAGAGTTTGTGTGATATAAACTGACCAAGAAATGTAAGAATACCTTTGTTTGGGTATTTCTTCATTTCGAAATTGCTTTTAAGTAATGAATCTTCCGTGTTTTAAAGTGTATATATTTCCTCATAAACAGTTCCACATTGTAAGGAAAATGTATCAGTGTGTTGAGGAGCGGACTTGAGTATGTAGGTGTTGCCCATTAAAAACTCACCAAAGCAAAACAATATTCTTTCAGTTATGGGCTCTTCTTCGATGCCTTTATTGAATTAGATGATTAAACTTTGATGATATAACACATATAGGCCATCTAACAATTTATCAGTCAGTGTTGTTTTCATCAACGATGAGGATGAAGAAATTATTTCGTTGACACTAACTGACGAGCTAAACATGCTTTGTTGACGAAAGCTTCAGGGTTATGAGTGTGAGTTTTGGTTAAAGAGACAAGACAAAAAATTAGCGGGTAGTCGGTTAGATATTTAAACTGCATCATCGTGCGGTAATCTGCTAAGTAGTATCAGCCGTGCAGCGATGCACATTCTGCATGACCACAAATGGATCATGGCAGCAGCGGCAGGATGAAAATAATCCAGAATGGTTTGGGTACTACGCGCCAAACTCAGCTTGTGCAGAATTGCGTCTTTGCGTGTGCTTAGATTAGACTCTGTGCTTTACACTCCACACAAATGGTTCGCTTTCAGCAGTATGGCTATTCCTGCTCTCGCTACTCAATAAACTGTATGTGGCTGATCCTCTAACCAATGTAAAAATCCCTTGGTCTAACTATAAAAATTTAATTTTTTCCAGTGCACAAGAGGTGATACCAAACATTCTTTAAGTTCTTTTAAAAGGAATCCCTAAATTATATCCAAAGAAAATATTTCATTGAATACTGTTTATTTTTTTATAAAGACCCAGGTGAAAAGGTGTATGGATCTTTGTTTATTTCTCTCTCATATTTCTCTTTCTATCTATTTAAATATGATGTAAATGTTTCCTTGTATTTAATTAAAAATTTTCTTTGTTCCCTTTAAATATTTCAACATTTTATTTAGCACACTCATTCAATTTTGGTCTGGATTGCCATGGCATTACAAGGCAATTATGTAGGTTCTCTCTGTATTTCTTCCCCCTGTGAATTAAAATCTTCTTTGACCCCTGAGCTGCGGTAACCGAGGGGCAAAATTCTCAGAAAAAAAAAATAAAAAATTACCAAAGTAGGAAGAAGAATATTTTTGTTCTTTGCTTTTTTGGAGCAATGAAAATTTTATTGATCTGTGTGTAATGCATAATTCATAGTAGATCAGGTAGTATTTGCTTTGGGATGGAAAACTTGTATGTCTAAAAACATTCCTTTATTGTACATTTTGTCATTCTTTTGTATGAAGTAGGGTATTATTAATTAAAATTTGAGTTCTATAAATCAAAGTTTTCTGCCCAAGAGCAATGATGAACTCCACAGCAGCATTCTATTCCCAGCAATTGTAATATCTAGGCAAGAGCTCTTAGTCTGGTAAAGAATCTGGTTGTTAATCGAAATTGTAAAGGTTCACCTTTTTTGCAACAAAAAACTGACTAAAACCTTTTTAAGTTTTAGTCTACTAAAACCGACTAAAATTATCACATATCACAATGAATAAAATGTGGCTAAGACAAATAATAGTTTTTGTCCTGAAGACAAGGACTAAATCTAAGATGGCTGCCAAAAACAACACTGTTATCAGTTTAACAAACTTGGGCCATGTCAGAATGTTTTGGTTCATCTAGCATTAACCTTTCAATAAGGCTGAAGTCAAGACTGAACATAGGTGTCTGATAACCTAAATTCTATGAGGGTAGGTACTGACATCTTTGAAGATGGAGATATTGACTTGGCAATGGTTGGAGGACTCCATTCCAACATCCCTGCAATTGTTTTTCCTGCAATGATACCAAGGATTGTTGTCACATATTAAACCAACCCAAATTTATTAAACTACTTCCTCGAAAACCTGTCTGACATTGGCTAATACAATTCAGGGAGTAGGGCTCAGGGGCTAGAAGACTAACTCGTCTGTTCATGAAGTTGTTTCCTAGTTTGTGAAGAGTCTTCATATCAGAGACATTTGGTGCCATTTAAAGAGAAACAAACCTGCTTTCCACGCATTTAAAGGAAAAGTCTGGTCACATTCAGAATACAAACTTCTGAAAGTACTTTGAATATGGAATTATTACATACTTTTAATAAATAAAAGCGTTTTTGGTTAGGAGTAATTTCATTTGAATGTACTTTACTGAAGACATCCATGTTTGTCAAAGAGCAGTACTGCCACCTACAGGTTTTTGACGTCACGATGCGCCATCGGCTGTTGAGCAAGTCCTAGTGCTGTATCTGGTGTTTGTCACAACAAAGGGGAAAGATGAAATAACAATTTTTTTTTTTTTACTTTTACCCAACGTATTACAAAATCCAACTACCATGCACGTGGGAATTGTCCGTTTAACTATAGCTCTGGTGAATTTCAATGGTGAAGTCTTTATCTTAAGTAACTGTTGATTACAGATGCGCTGCCACTGATTTTGCCTGTAAAGCGGGGAGAATGTCGCTAGGCTTACCGCACCGTGACGTCACTGCCGGAAGATGCCAGGAGTGAGTTGTTTCAATATTTGGGCAAAAATGGCCGTTCATGGACTCAGTGATCGCAATGAAAAATATTATTTTCATTTTTTGACTGATTAATGCTAAATTCATTAAATAAACATATTAATTTTAGGTATAGATAATAATCCATTGATCATTCCTTGCTGACCGAATTTTTCCTTTAAGATTTTTTCTAAGAGTCTTTGTTACATTTTGTACTAAAAACATTTATAACGCTCTATGTTCTGCTGCAAGACAGCTGGAAGCACTGGAAGTTTAGAGAAAAAAAAGCCTATTTGCATTTGGGTGTCTGAGTCTTATTTTTTTAGGACAAAAAGTGAAGGTAGAAAGGAAAGAATAACAATTACCTTAATTAGAAAGTTGTGCTAGAATATCATGTACATTTCATATCGTTATTTTCCATTAAGTATATCTGTTTATCTGTACGGAATCAAATTATTTGTAAGCTGAACCTTTACAATTTCATGATGTAAGGAAATTTGTTGAACTGTTTTGATTAAAAGGTACTAAACACAGATGCATACAACAATTTACTACCACACGCAATAACAGATGTGAAATTAAGATTTTAGTTGTAATTTGACTTAAAAAGTTAAAAGGATGTGAAAAATGTTGCACTGTTTTAAGAGGTAATCAGAACAAGACATTGATGGAAGAAAAACCCAACAATTTTTTTTTACAAATTTGTATCGACAGTGTCATGTCTGGCTGAACCTTACGGACCCACATGCAGAATCAGGCACGGACACAACTGAAGGGAGAAGGTTTATTGTTAACTCAGCCAACACTGAATGGGGAAGAACTGAGAGTCTCTGGGAATACACTGCCACAGGCTGTGCAGGTGGCTGGAGGTGCGCTGAAGGAGGAGGCGTTCGTCACGGAGCTGTCACAGAGGTGGTGGAGAGCAGGCAGTCAGACTGAGGCGATCGTCAGAGAGTTTTCACTGAGGTGGTGGAGAGCGGGCAGGCAGACAGAAACTAAGCTGCAGATGGGAACAGCTCACGGAGTTAGACGCAGTACGGATCAGTCCAGGAGCGCTTCGATTAAACCTGGGAATCGAGAGAGACAAGAGGTGAGCAATTAGGAACCTTTCAACAGGAATCAGACAAAAAAACTTTCTCGTGGGGAATTTCACGTTGGCTAGATTGGTACCAGAGTATGGGGACCATCAGGCGAGGAAGAGATGGCTGCAGCTCCTTAAATCCCTCACAGGTAGATGGGTTGATGGATCTCAGGTGCTCAGACAGCCGGCCAAGCCCACCTGCAGCGCTCCAGAAGAAATAGAGAAACACTCCACTCAAGGGTTCTGACAGACAGTATATATTTGAATTAGATCAATCAAGTCCAAGTAGAACCACTCAGAGTTTACCACAGCATAACATGTATGAAAAACCATCAGTGGAGCACACATTTGACGAGTCATGATGACAACAGGAAACAGGAAGTGCTGATTTCACTCCACTGGAACTAGAGACATTAATGCGGAAAATAAGTTGGGATTTAATTTTGGACACTCTAAAGTCAAATGTACGAGAAGGGGATGGTAGAGATATATTTACTTGGAGATGGTCAAAGTACTGTGATGGTCTTAGTTCTGGAAAAGCTTAGAATGCAGGAAATATCACTTAGATATGTCACAGCTCTATGTTACAGCACTAAATTGAACATGAAATGAGTACTCTTGCAAGGCTTATTATAAATACTTGTAATTGTTATTATTTAAGAAAACCTTAATAATGAACAAGCATACACAACAGGTGTTTGAAAATCATCAGAGAGCTGAAGAAGCGCTGCTCAATTCAGTTCTGACACAACTAGGCCTAGACTGGAGCCATTCATGAGATGACTTATAGGACAATTGTCTCTTTAATAAGAGGGCTCTTCTTCATCCTCATGTTGCTTCTTTTTGTGGCTTTAATTTCTGAAATGTAACAGCAAGAAGAAGCGATCTCTCGGAGCTATCACAGAGCTCTTACATTCTGATAACAACTGAGTTCCTTCTTACATGACTTCAGTTAACTATATCAATCAGTGCAGCATCCTTTAATCTTATTTTATCATGACCAGAAAAAATATATATTTTCTAGCCTATCAAATTTTTAAAACAGTGATTCATAAACATTGAACCTGTTGTTTCCCGCTTCATCTGGGACCGGGTTGTCGGGACATCAGACTCCCAGACTTCCCTCTCTGCAGTGACCTGCTCCGGCTCTGCTAGGGAGAGCCTGAGGTGCTCCCTGGCCAACTGAGAGCCATAGTCTCTCCATTGTGTCCTCAGTAATCCCTTGCACCTCCTCCCCGTGGGACTTGCTTGGAAAAGATCTGAAAATATGAAAAAAAGTCTGAGCTTCCTCAGCTGACTCTGAGAAACAGATCTACTCTGTGCTTCTCATGAATAATTGACCTCCTCACCCTATGTCTAAGCGTGTGCACAGCCACCCTGTGGAGAAAACTCATTTCAACCTCTTGTATCCAGCATCACGTTCTTTCTGTCATGATCCATGTTTCATGACCATACTTGGGCGTAGAAACATAGAGCGACCAGTAAATCGAGAGCTTTGCCTTTTTGCTCAGCTCTTCCTTCACATGACAGAGCAGTGCAGGATCTGCATTATAGCAGCAACCGATCCATCTATTGGTCTCATGCTCCACCAGGACCCCCAACTCCTTCACTCAAGGCAGGAACTCTCCTCCGAACCTGAGGGGCACAAGCCACTTTTTTCCTATCAGGAACCATGGCCTCGGATTTGATGGAGCTGATTCTCATCCCGCTTCACACTCTTCAAGCAGGTTGCCTCAGTGCATGCTGTCGATCTTGGTGGGAGGCAGCTAGCTTAACCTGCATAAAGCAGGGATGAGATCCCCTGGTGCCCAAACCACATCCCCTCTGGCCCTTGGCTTTACGTAGAAATTCTGTCCATAAAAGTTATGAGCAGGATCGGTGACAGAGGGTAACCCAGTAACACTCCAACATGCACAGGGAATAAGTCAGAGTTAATGTCTGCAACACGGACCAAATTCCTGCTCTGTGTTTATACAGCTGGGGTCGCCAGGAATTTATGGGCCCCATGCAAATAAAAAAATTAGACAACCTTTAAAACTGCAATGAAGTTGCACTGAAGATGATCTTTTACATTGTCAATGTAATTTTTATTGTAAGATTTCTACAAAGGAAAGTTATCAGAATGTGAAAAAGTTAAATATACATTAACTTTAAACTTTACATTTACATCCTATCAAAATAATAACAGCTTATTTTAAAACACAGCTGTATTTATGTACACATGACTAGAATATAGGTT